AAGTAGAAAATATAAAATATCTAGGAGTAATCATTGACAGCAAGCTAAGACTAGAAGAACATTGTTGAATCGTATCATATGTTCGTATCATATGTCGTATCATATATTATATCATATATCGTATGAACATCATATGTTGAAAAAAAAAGATAAAAAAACAAGCTTCTTAAATAGGATAGGTAGCAATTTAACGATGTACCATAGATGTACTATATATAAGTATATACTAGTAGATATTATAATAATAGATAGTATAATACTAGTAGATGTACTATATATAAAGCAATTATCGCATTTTGAATATTGTGCGACGCTGTTGATTAATGGGGGAGAAACACAGCTGGACAGATTGCAAGTAGCGCAGAATCGGGCTATGCGAGTTATTTTGCAGTATAAGCGTGATACCAAAGTCGAGCATATGCGGAACGTGCTGTGTTTTATGTCAATAAGATAGAGGCTATATTATAATACGTGCATATTTATTTTTAAAGCGGTGAAAAGGTTTATTGCCTGATTATTTGACAAATAATTTACAAATAGTAGGTGTTACTAACGGACGACAAAAACGCTAGGCGAATAATATTGCTATCCAATTTCGTCGGACTAGCACTGCACAAAAAAGCTTGTTCTACATAGGAATAAAGATGTATAATGAGTTATTTTTAGAAATAAGGAGCAGTCAGAGATTAGAGCATTATAAAAGGAAACTCAAAGAATATATATCAGGTGTAAATTATTATTATTAGGTAAATCGGAAAGTTTCGTCCGTTTAGAGACAAGTAGCTATAGCTAGAACTGTCGTTAACCTGTAATGTCTAAACGAAGCTTAATATTATAGTTTGTTTTGACATCTGTCAATAACATTTAGTACATAAAAGTATACATTTGCATCAATAACATTGTTTTTCACTGCATCGAAAATGTCGAAATTTGAGCCAAATAAGCGTCATTTGCGCGAAGTGTTAATCTTTTGCTTCAATTGAAAGAAAACTGCAGCTGAAGCTTAACGAATACTTGTAGAAGTTTATGGTGATAATGCTCCTTCCGATAAAACATGCAGAGAATGGTTTCGACGCTTTAAAATTGGTGATTTTGACGTAGAGGACAAAGAGCGTTCTGGACGGCCAAGAGTATTCGAAGATGAAGAATTGCAGGCATTGGTGGACGAAGACCCATGTCAAACGCAAAAGCAACTTGCAGAAGCATTAAATTATTCTTAATCATCTAAATCATTTCCGACCGTTTGAAAGCCTTAGGAAAGGTTTACAAGGAAGGGAAATGAGTCCCATATGAACTGAAGCCAAGAGACATTGAAAGGCGAAAAACCACCTACGAAATTCTGTCGCTAGGCAACAAAGAAAGGGGTTTTCACATCGTATCATCACTGGGGATGAAAAATGGATTTATTTTGACAATCCCAAACGTCGAAAAACTATTTGCGATCCCAGCCAACCCTTAACATCGAAGTCAAAGCGGAATATCCACGGAAAGAAGGCAATGCTTTGTATTTGGTGGGATCAGAAGGGTATGCTGAACCATGAGCTGTTCAAAAGTGGTCAAACAGTCACAGGGGATCTGTACAGAGAGCAAATGATCCGTTTGAACCGAGCATTGCACAAAAAAAGACTAGAATATGAAACGAGACAGCATAAAGAGATTTTTCTTCATGACAACGCTCGGCCTCACGTCACAAAATCTGTCAAGGAAACGCTAGAAGCACTTTACTGGGAAGTGTTACACCATGCGGCTTATTCACCAGACTATGCCCCTTCCGATTACCACTTGTTTGGGTCGATGGCACACGCACTTGCTGAGGAATTCTTCAATTCTTATGAAAACGTCGAAAAATGGGTCTCTGACTGGATAGCCTCCAAAGATAAGTCATTCTTTCGCCGCGGATGTCACTTGCTGACCGAAAGATGGGAAAAAGTTAGCGCTAACGATGGACAATACTTTGATTAATGTACTTCTTCATTTTGTTACTTAAATAAAGCCATACGTTTTGCAAGAAAACGGACGGAACTTTCCGATTGACCTAATAAGTTAGTTATATTATTAAATGTATGCAAATAGTCGAGAAAGCTAATAAAGGCAATCAATCAATCAATCAATCTCCCCCTTCTTCTTCCTCCTTACCCTCTCTCTCACTCTACTCTTCTCTCTCTCCCTCCTCTCTCTTCCTCCTTCTTCTCTCTCGCCCTCTCTCTCACTCTACTCTCTCTCTCACTCCTGTTTCTCTCTTTCTCTCTCACTCCTCTCCCTCCCTCTCAGCCCCCCCCTCTCTCCTCTCTCCTCTCTCTCTCTCTCTCTCTCTCTCTCTCTCTCTCTCTCTCTCTCTCTCTCTCTCTCTCTCTCTCTCTCTCTCTCTCTCTCATTCTACTCTTTCTCCTTACCCTCTCTCTCCCTCTCTCTCTCCCCCTCTCCCTCTCCCTCTTCCTCTCCCTCTCTCGCCTCCACTCCCACTCCCTCTCCCTCTCCCTCTCTCACTCTCTCATTCTCTCACTCACTCTCTCTCTCTCTCTCTCTCTCTCTCTTTCTCTCTCACTCTCTCACTCTCTCACTCTCTCACTCTCTCACTCTTTCACTCTCTCACTCTCTCACTCTCTCACTCTCTCTCTCTCCCTCTCTCTCTCTCTCTCTCTCTCTCTCTCTCTCTCTCTCTCTCTCTCTCTCTTCCGTACATTTTCTCATATACTGTATTCTAGCATATCTCTCGCTTCCTCGCTCGCATTTGCTGCTGTCTGCTTCTTCAGTGCTCTCGTAGCGCCCCTGGAAGAGCGAGATGCACGCATATCCCTACTCCTGTGCGTTCGAAGTTTCTCACTTTCTTACTGAATCGAAATTTTCCGTGATTCGCACTTTATGTTAATGTACCTCCGCTTACAAGGAGATGACGCAACCTGTTTCATCGATTTTAATACGAGTCATAACACACTCGATAGCTATGATGCCGTGTATAGACGCCCTAACATAATATGCGTGAATGCGTCTTTGTTTGCGAGTAATTTGCAGTTAAAGTTTGGCTCGCAGAGCCGTGCCACACATAGGGCGCGAGTTACGACACTCTTTCACGAAGCCGGCGTGACTGAGCAGACAGAGGCTCCCGCGCCGCGAACACTTTTGCGCCGACGACGGCGTTCGAGTCCCGCTGACGACTGGTTCGTTTTTTTTCGTATGTAAAGACATGTAATATTTTTATATTGTTTTTATGTATAATTCCTTTTTTTGTTTCTACGCTATTAATCAAGGCTAATTAGGAGAGTCAGGTCTTTCAAATATGAACACAACTTTTTTATTAATCACAATAAAATGTTTTCTTCGTGTAAATCTATTTCGCATAAATATTTCGTATGGTATGGGAAAGAAATGGCCAGACAGTGATTATTTTGTGTGAGAGAAATCCGAGAGCCGTTAGAACCGTTACAAGTGGAAAGGAACCCTCTTCCCTTTCCCCTTCTCGCAGAGGGATTCTCATGTTTTGTGACGTGCTCGTTTCATTCTCTGGGCAGTCTTCGTAACGTGAACAGTGAAAAACTCGTGTTAAAAGTGGGAACCACGTTTGTAGATGAAGCAACGATCAGCTATGTGCAAAATCTAGCAAAATGTGATATTACGAAAGAAGAGTTGACGGACGCAATATAATATCTTCGAGGTAAATATATTGAATGTGTGAGCAATGGAAATATATATTTGTACGTATTGTTATTGGCCTTGCATACAATAGCAATTATATTGAATTCATATTTGTAGATGTCCTGATCCAATTTCCGTCCAGTCTTGTTGATAGTCGCGAGGTATTTTACAACGTCAATAAAATATGTTTTCCACCAACTATACATAGTCAAAAGTGTATTTGTGCAAAAATTATGCGTTCATTACGTGCAGTTGGTGCAAAAAACTATTATGTTTTATATGCTTCTATACGGCATTCCATCCGCAGAGTTGCGACAGCACGACCACATTTTATAATACGTAACTTTCATTTGTGTGCCTTATATTTGTCTTATGTGTGTGTATGTATGTGTTTTGATACGGACAAAAACATTTTATTGTAATTAATAAAAAAGTTGTGTTCATATTTGAAAGACCTGACTCTCCTAATTAGCCTTGATTAATAGCGTAGAAACAAAAAAAGTAATTATACATAAGAACAATATAAAAATATTTATTACATGTCTTTACATACGAAAAAAAACGAACCATTCGTCGGCGGGACTCGAACGCCGTCGTCGGCGCAAAAGTGTTCGCGGCGCGGGCCTCTGTCTGCTCAGTCACGCTGGCTTCGTGAAAGAATGTCGTAACTTGCGCCCTATGTGTGACACGGCTCCGCGAGCCAAACTTTAACTGCAAATTACTCGTAAACAAAAACGCATTCACGCATATTATGTTAGTGCGTTTATACACGGCATCATAGCTATCGAGTGTGCTATGACTCGTGTTGAAATCGATGAAACAGATTGCGTCATCTCCTTGTTAGAGACAACGTACACAAAAATCACAAGAACATTTTGCTTCCTATTTTTTAAAGCCGAATCGATTGGGACTAAAAAGCTTCGACCGGCTCAGTCATTGCTGAGATATGAATATCTCACCTCGTTTGAACTCGCAGTTTCGCGTAATATAGGCACGGTGTGCCTCACGCCGTTCGGGCGCAACTTCGTTGCGCTTGAACTTGGTGCGAGGCATTACCATGCCTCGTGATGAAGAAGCACATGTTGGAAAAATACTTTTTGTGTTCCACATTACGTTCACTCTTTATCACCTTTTCCACTTTTATACAAAAATGACCTTTGTTGGTTGGATGTTGTTGGGCTGGACAAATGACGAGATGTATAATCTCTAAAACTTAACAGTTACGGCATGAACTAAAGTAAACATCCAGAATCATCTATTCCCAGCGGCACTCTAGCAGTATTCCAGCAAATTAATGCAACTTCCTAATCATACAGACTTACCTTTATATGTATATGTATAATATGTCTTTTATTTATTTATTTCAGATATCAAATGACGCGGTCGCTAATATTTGGGCTTACGAAATGGGATCAAAAGTTTTATACGACGCATCTCGCGAACATTACAGAACGATTACAGGTGAGTCGTTTGAAGGGGTAATAACATCGATATTTATTTTTACGCTCCGGAGACCGAGCACGATCGATATGTTCTGTTGAGTTGTGCTGCCGACATTTAACTAGTGACTTTGCAATCACTCACGTAATGCAAAGTAGTTGTAACGTGGCTGGCTGATGAAATGAACCGGATGGAAAGGGTTGTTTAGTATCTATTACAGGGCAATTTATATGACATCCGTTTTTCTCCTTTTTGATAATTGCTGGAAAACAATTTATGTGTATAACAGAATAACTGCATTTCATATCTTTTTGTACTAATCACTAATAATTTTTTCACGAATGACAGCAACATGTAAACGATAGAAACGATGGAATGTTCGACATTTGTAAGGCTATTTAAATATATTTTTTCGGAGGCGGATTTGGTAAAAAAATCGATCGAAAATGGAAGCAACACGACGGAGAGAAGGAGGAAAGACACGAACCTTTTATTATAGTTTTTCCTTCTTTCTTAAAACCTTATTGTGTGGTAATTTGTTTTTTGAATTATGCAACTCCGATATACTAGGTGCGCAACTAAGTTTCCGGGTTTCACACATGGATGGCGCTAACGACACATGTAGTCGACATACATGTCTGAAATTGTATTTTTTTATAGCTTGGACATCTGTTAACAATAACCAGTCGTAATACCAACACATATCGCAACGCAAAAATATTTTTTCTAACAACGAAGATGTCGAGTTTTGTGCCAAATAAACAGCATTTGCGGGAAGCTTTGCTTTTCTGCTTTAATTTGAAAAAAGTGCAGCTGAAGCACGTTGTTTGCTTCAGGAGGCCTACGGCCAACACGCACCATCGAAAACTACCTGTGAAGATTGGTTTAAACGCTTCAGAAGTTGCGATTTCGACACTGAGGACAAGGAGTGCTCCGGAAGACCAAAAACAGTTGAGGACGCCGATCTGCAAGCGTTATTGGATGAAGATGATACGCAAATATAAGATCAACTTGCGGAGGCATTAAACATGACTCGCCAAGGTATTTCCAAACGTTTACATACCATGGGAAAAATTCAAAAGGAAGGAAAATGGGTGCCGCATGAGTTGACTGAGAGACAGATGGAAAATTGAAGAGCCACTTCCGAAATTTTGCTTTTGCGGCATGAAAGAAAGCGTTTCCTGCATCGAATTGTTACTGGCGATGAGAAGTGGATATATTTCGAGAATACCAAATGCAAAAAATTGTGGCTTTTACCTGGCGAAGCATCAACATCAACGGCACGGCCAAATCGCTTCGGAAAGAAGACAATGCTCTGCATTTGGTGGGATCAGAAAGGAATCGTGTACTATGAGCTGCTGAATCCGGGGGAAACTGTTAATGGGCATCGTTATCGACAACAACTGATCAATTTGAACCATGCATTGCTCGAAAAACGGCCAGAATGGGACACGAGACACGAGCGAGTGATATTGCACGACAACGCTCCGTGCCATCGCACTTCCATCATCCAGGACACCATCAAAACGCTGAAATGGGATCTAATACCACACTCGCCGTCTTCGCCAGACCTGGCCCCTTCCGATTATCACTTGTCCCGCTCGATGGCGCATGGCTTGGCTGGGCAACACTTGGCCAATTTAGAAAAAGTACAAAATTGGTTCGATGAATGGTTTCGGTCCAAAGACGCGTCGTTTATCGTCGCGGTATTCATGTATTGCCAGAGAGATGGCAAAAATGTGTAGCTAGCGAGGGACGATACTTTGAATAAACCATTTTTTGTATTTCTCTTGAAATTTTCCATTTTTCATTGATCAAAAAACCCGGAAACTTAGTTGCACACCTAGTACATATTAGAAAAAGCAACATCCACTTTATGTTTCTTCGGAAGTATCTGGGATGCCTGCTATATGTGTCTTTCGTAATCTTTATTTGGATGAGCCGATTACACGCAATCACATTAAGCCATCATAAGACATATAAAAGTAGACATGCATATGAAGCATGTGTTTTAGTTGCGGTTAACGTGCATCATGTGCACCGATATAAGCCACCGATATAATTGAAGCGTGATACGGTAATTGTGTCGCTCAGCAAATTGTGGCCCCACGTTAGCGAATGAGCTTCTGCGGCAATGGCCAAATTAGTATATTTTCCACATATTATGTACATTACGAGGGTGGTCTGATAAGTACTTAGCCTACAAAAGAAAAACGAAAATTTTGGAAAAGTGGCGATTTATTTCTCAACATAGTCTCCTTTTAGCTCGATACACTTGACCCAGCGATGCTCCAACTTCTTTAACCCGTCTGAAAAATACGTTTTCTCGAGGTCTGCAAAGTAGGCCTCCGTGGCGGCGATGACCTCCTCATTCGACTCAAATTTCTGCCCGGCGAGTGACTTTTTCAAGTTTGGAAACAAAAAGAAGTCGCACGGGGCCAAATCTGGAGAATACGGTGGATGGGGCAGCAGTTCGTAGCCCAATTCGACCAATTTGACCGTGGCGAGGGCGGAGGTGTGAACCGGTGCGTTGTCATGGTGGAAGAGCACTTTTTTCTTCGCCAAATGGGGCCGTTTTTTCTACAATTCGGCGTCGAATCGGCACAATAATTCGGCCATCACCTTTCCGGCCGATAGGACAGTCTTCGCCTTCTTCGGAGCATGTTCGCCGGGTGAAGTCCACTGTTTCGACTGTTCCTTGGTCTCTGGTGTGTACCAGTGGATCCATGTTTCGTCGACGGTCACGAAACGACGCAGAAACTCCTTCGGATTGCGCTTAAACAGCGTCAAACACTGCTCTGAAGTGGTCTCACGGTTGCGCTTGTTGTCCGGAGTGAGCAAACGCGGCACCCATCGCGCCGACAGCTTTCTCATACCCAAAATTTCATGCAGGATATGACCCACGCGGTCTTTTGAGATGCCTACTGTCTCAGCTATCTCGCGCACCTTCAATCGGCGGTCTGCCAATACGAGATCGTGGATTTTTGTCATGTTATCCTCCATGGTAGCCGTTTTCGGGGTACCTGGGCGTGGCTCATCAAAAACCGACGTGCGACCACGTTGAAACTCGTTAAACCAATTTTTGACGGTCGCCATCGAAGGAGAAGAGTCACCGTACATAGCATCCAAGCGCTCTTTGATTTCGCTGCGCGATTTCCCTTCCAAAAACAAGAATCGAATCACCGATCGATATTGCTCTTTTTCCATTTTTCTAAAATCCGCGGACACGCCCGCTTCCACACGCGGTCAAAACAAAACTACGAGTCCGATTCGGCTGAAATTTCGACAGTAGCCGTCTACGAGAATGTACTACACGATAGTAAATTTCTCTTGCGATAGTAGCGCCATCGGGCGGTGAGGCTAAGTACTTATCGGACCGCCCTCGTACATATATTGTATTCGTTTACTGTTTTTCTATGAGTATGTTTCGAACTGCGACCGCAAGCAAGTCACATTTAAATTCAAGCTCTTTTCTATTACAATCGCTTCATATAGTATTGTCAAAGTCGTTATGTGTGTTTATATGTTTGTGTATGTTTATAATTTTTAATGATAACTTATTAACTATTAGGCGAGTAATTAATTTTTTGCGACTATTCGGCAAAATTAGATATTTGCTACATTTATTAAGAATTACTTACGATTCAACTCAACATTTCTTGAATCAATTATTGACTTATCATTTATATAGTGTCCCATTTTAAAAAACGCACTTCGATAATTCTTCAACGAACTATTTTCAGTAAAAATATTTCGGACGAAAGTTGTACGATTTCAATGGGGACATAAAACAACTATACTATAATATTTTATTTACAAATGGTACTACTTTCGAGATATTCACTGATCATTACTTTTCTTAAATGGAAACCCCAGTTTTTTATTACATCGTATTTTTCTACCAATTAATTTTAACAACTTTTGTCTGAAATATTTTTTTCATTGCCTAATAGTTTTTGAGATATTTAAGAAAACTTGATAACTTTTTCAATATTTAATTCACGATATCTCACTAACTATTTGTCGGAAGAAAAAGTGGTACCAGACTTTTCTGCCCTATTTAATCTCAAGAATATATTGTTTTAATATAATAGTGCCCTGACTTTTGTTAACTTACTGATTTTTGGAAATTTCAAAATCATCAAATTAACAAAAGTCAGGGCATTATTGTAACAATATATTGGGTATTGGGTATCTTTTGAAGAAAAGTGCTGCGGAAACGTGCCATTTGCTTGTGGATGTTTACGGCGACCATGCTCCATCGGAGCCAACTTGCAGATATTGGTTCCAACGCTTCAAAAGTGGTGATTTCGATATCAACGACAAAGAACGCGATGGTGCCTCAAAAAAGTTAAAAAATGAGGAACTTGAGAAATTGATATTGATATTGATCCATATCAGACACTTGAAGAATTGTCTGCAGCATTGAATGTTGATCAATCCACCGTTGGAAAACGCCTACATGCGCTGGGAATGGTTCAGAAGGCAGGAAATTGGGTACCACACGAGTTGAAGGAAAGGGACATTGAAAGGCGCTTGGTCACGTGCGAAATGTTGCTTCAACGACAAGAAAGAAAGAGTTTTTTTTGCATCGGATCATCACTGGCGATGAAAAATGAATTCATTACGACAATCCTAAACGCAAACTAGCATGGGTGAAGCCAGGTGAACCAGGTCCATCAACGCCAAAGCGCAATATTCACGGGTCAAAGGTCATGCTCTGTATCTGGTGGGATATATGGGGTGTAGTCTACTATGAGCTGCTGAAACCGTCCGAAACTATCAATTTCCAACGTTACCAACTTCAACTAATGCGTTTCAAACAAGCTATTCAAGAAAAACGGCCGGAATGGCGCGATAGACACGAGAAGCTGATTTTGCAGCACGACAATGCTAGGCCACATGTTGATCAACCCGTCCGGACATACCTAGAAGGGGTAAAATGGGAGGTCCTACCCCACCCGCCGTATTCACCAGACATTGCCCCTTCAGACTATCATTTGTTCCGGTCGATGTAGTCGGCACTTACTGGAGAGCGCTTCACCTCATATGACAGCATACAAAAATGGGTCGATGACTGGATCGCCTCGAAAGAAATAGAATTTTTCACTGGAGGAATCCGTTTATTGCCCGAAAGATGGGCGAGGGTTGTCGCTTCAGATGGAAAATATTTTGAATAAAATCATTTAATATTTTTATATTCAAACTATGTTTTTTGTCTACATAAAAAACGATTAAAACTTATTCCCATACTCAATATTCTTGTGACCAAGTAAAGCAAAAAAGTCTAGTACCACTTTTTCTTCCGACAAATAGTTAGCGAGATATCGTGAGTTCAATATTAAAAAAGTTATCAAGTTTTCCTGAAATATCTCAAAAAATATTAAGCAAATAAAAAATGTTTCAGACAAAAGTTGTTTAAATTAATTGGTAGAAAAAGATGGTGTAATAAAAAATTGGGGTTTCCGTTTAAGAAAAGTAATGATCAGTGAATATCTCGAAAGAGGTGCTATTTATAAACAATATAGTTGTTTTATATCCCCCTTGAAATCATACAACTTTTGTCCAAATCATTTTTGCTGAAAATGCTTCGTTGAAGAATTAGAGGTGCGTTTTTTAAAATGGAGCGCCCTATAATAATTATAATATTATAAATTTATAATGATTTCCATTTTGATCTGATAATTGTTGAGAGAGAGAGAGAGAGAGAGAGAGAGAGAGAGAGAGAGAGAGAGAGAGAGAAATCTATCTTCAATTAATTTATATAATTATTGGTGTCTTGTTACAGACTGTATGTTTGTTACTTCAGAAAGTGGGCCATTCATTTATATATCGCAGTCCGACGACAAAATCGTTTGTGGTATATATTTTTTAACTGATCCAGATCGCATAGTGGAGATATATTTTCACAATTTCGACGTGCCTTGCGATCATCGTGGACTTCTGGCGGTATGTAATTGTCAGTTATCAATCTTTGTCGATTACTTAATTTTGATCTGTGATATTATAAATTAAATGTAATGTCATTCGATATTTGAAGCTTCGATGTTTCGGTAAAATCCGACATTTGAATTTAACAGTTTGAATAATTCAAAATTTCATATCTTCGAAGATTTCTCGAAACTGCTCAAAGATTTGAAATATCGAAGCTATCAACAGAACTAATTTTAAGGAAACTAACAACTTCTAACTTGTGTACACTTAATATCGTTCAAATATTCGAATGTTTAAATATTTACACTTCGAAAAATTCTATTATTGATTGAATAATAACTAGTTGATCAATTAAAAGTTAAGTTAAAAGGTTAACTTTTAACTTAATTTAATTAAGTTTAGAAAATTTTTTATTCATTTTAATATAAACTAGTTATTTTAAAATGCATTAACATTCATTTATTAACTTTTTCCTATAATTTAAAATAATTCATTAATATTATAATCATTGTAAATTATTCATAATATAGAATAAGAAAAATAGAAAAATAATATTAGTAACATTTATTTCCTCTTTCTCTAATTATTAGTACTTTTTTCTCATATAGAATCCGAGTATAAAACAATCGGTATTCTTATAAAAGGCCTTTTATAGTTATTTCATATAAATTCAAAATATGATTAAAAATTATTTATATAAAAACATATAACTATTTATTTGTATAATTAACATTTGATTTTAATATTATATTATAATTTAATATTATAATACATTAATTTAATTTCTACTTAATTTTTAATTGTCTTTATTTGATCTTAAATCTAACTAAGTTAATTTTATAAATACTTAACTTTTTAAGCTAAAGTTAGTCAAGAAAATATATTAACTTATTTATTTCTTTATTCTAATATAATAATATAATAATATAAAGTTATAACAATTTTAAGCTCTCTTTGAAGTTTTGAAATTTCGAATATAATTTATAATTTTATTATAAATTATTATTCGCTTATGTTCAGCAATAATGAAACTTGATATTTAAAAGAAATTACTTTGAGATTTCATACCACTTAAACAAATTATCTTTATGTGTACGACAATTTTGCGCGAAAATCAAATTGCGAAATTTTATCCGACTCTCGTACGTTCGCCTTGTTATTATTAGAAAACCCCTATAAGGTAAACTCGAAGTAAAATTGTACAGCGGTAGTGTATCACGTGCCATGAATATACAGGGTGCCTCATAATGTAGAATTCGTGCAGACAGAGTGGGTTAAGACAAACATAAATATCCTATACCGCTTTGCGAGATTTGCAATAATTATTGAGTTATTAACGACAGAAATTTCACGAGTTAGTGCGTGCCAAAATGGATGATTGGAGAAGCGTCGCAGCCTCTCGGGCCATAGCGCGGCGCGATCGACCTAGCAACTATTGACGGCGTGCGGCGAGACATCTCGTAGATGCGGCGAAATAAAATGAATAGCGGCCCGTTCTCTTTCCTCTCACCGCGCACCGGCAACAATTGCTGGATCGACTGGGCCGTGCTCTTGTTGAAATGGCTGTAATGCTTCTCCAATCATCTATATCGGCGCGCTCCCACTCCTTAGATTTCTGTAATTAATAATTCGATAATTATTGCGAATCTTGCAAAACGGTATAGGACTTTTATGTTTGCCTTAACCCTTTGAGCCACGTAGTTTTCAGAAAATCCGAATCACATGAAAAATTACAGGGAAAAATACAAGGATTTCTGGGATCGCTGATGACGAATCCGTTAACAGATTATCGAAATTCAAGATGGCGGACGCAAAAATTAAAAATCGCGATAATTTCGGTGACAATAGGTATTGTGGGGTTTTTGGAGTCGCCGATTACGAATCCGTTATCAGATTTTCGAAATTCAAGATGGCGGATTCAATATGACGGCCATAAATATGAAAAATCGCGATAATCTGGAACCACCATCTTGGAAAATGAATTTAGAATGTGGACCTCAGATTCGTAATCAGCGACCTCAAAAACTAACCAGAGTACAATTTTAGCTAATTTAATAAAAACCACCATCTTGGAAAATGAATTTTAGAATGTGGACCTCAGATTCGTAATCAGCGACCTCAAAAACTAACCAGAGTACAATTTTAGCTAATTTAATAAAAATCCTATGATCCGCCATCTTGAATCCGTCATTTTGGAAAATTAATTTTAGAATCTGGACTTCAGATTCACAACGGCCCAAAGGCCCCCAAATCTTGATTTCGAGCAAAAAATTCACTCATAGTTCGTGGAAAATTATTTTTTTCTGTAAAAATGTGTATTTTTTACACTTTGTTTATTGACAACTTATGCAAAACACTTCAACCTTTCATGTATGTTCTCATATCATATAAGAAGCTAAAAAACGCAAATAACAGACAAGAATCCTTCAAATATGAAATATTTCATGAAAATATGAGAATAAATAGGTGGTAAGCATACTTACCTCAAAGGGTTAACCCGCTCTATGTCTCCACGAGCAACGTTAGTTATGAGATACCCTGTATGGAAATCAACCTTCCGCAGGAGTCTATCGACGCGGAATGAATTTCGTGAATTCGATATGTATGTTTGTAGCATGCTGCGAGTGTAACTTTCTCACATTCTTCCCAGTAAATACAAAATTAATCAATGTTATCAATATAATCAAAGTTATCAATGTTATAATGTCAGCTAAATTATATGGTATGTTAAGTAACTGTTATTTTGTTATACAGGGTGTCCGGTGACTAGCTGCTAACCCGAAGTTTGAAAGTAGATTGGGTTAAGACAAACATAAAAGTCCCATATCATTTTACGAAATTTGCAATAATTATCAAGTTATTATGACAGAAATTTGAGGAGTGGGAGCGTGCCGACATAGATGATTGGAGAAACTCAGTTGCAGTTGCTTAGGCCACAGTGCAGCCCAGTTGATCCTGAAACTGTTACCGGTGCGTGGCGAGAGGAAGGACAACGCGCCACTATTCGTTGTTTTGTTCTCGCACCTACGTCTTACCGTACGCTGCCAACAGTTTTTCGGTCGACTGGGCCGCGCTGTAATCCGAGAGGCTACAACACTTCTGACTTCTCCAATCATCCATTTCAGTGCGCGCTCATTCGTCAGATTTCTGTAATTAATAACTCGATAATTATTGCGAATCTCACAAAACGGTATGGGCCATTTATGTTTGTCTTAACCCAATCTACCTTCACATTTCGGGTTGGCAGCTAATTACCGGACACTCTGTATAACAACAGCTGACAGCTGTATAACAAACAACTGTTATGTAACATACTATATGATTCAGCTGACATTGTAACATCGATGATACTTTGTGTTTACTGGGTTGTAACAACATTACAACTGTAATTTAAAGTTCGTCAATTATTTTTTCAATCCCTAATTGTACGATATCGGCTTCATTTTCCTTTCAAATCACGTTCGCGCTCTCATCGTTAACAACTTCGCATAGAGAACGGAACAACTGAGCAACGTAAGTTATTAATTGTCCGTCATTTAAACAGGTAATCGACGGCTGGGAAATGGACGGCGAAATATTCCCAAGCGAGGCCGACCATCCATTACCCATGAAAGAGAGGATAAACGAATTCTGTGGCAAGAGCAAATGGTATAAGAGGACTTTTAAAAGTTCGCAGAACGCGGCGATTCTTCAGTATAGAATACCGATGCGCGGGAAAGGCTTCGTCATATCTGCGAGATATCCGAGAAATGCGAGGCGTGAGTAAAACAAGAATTGAATGTATACACTAAAAAATATATACATACTGCACATTTAAATGAATATATACATATACACAGAGCGTATAAAAAGGACCGAGACAGCGAAATATCTCGAATATTATATAAGCAAACGAACTCACCAAGTGAAGTTCGCTTGGAATTATGCTTGTAATCTCGTCCGGATGGATATTGTCTTCTATACACGCACTCCCCAACAGTTCATATTCCAGCTAAAGCGAAAAGGGGGTGCGCCCGCCACCGCTATCCCGCGCGTTCGTGCAGGATCATCTCATTTTTCAGAACGAAACAGCAAATCGCCCAATGTGAAGACCGCGAGTGGGAAGCGCGGAAGCTGTGGGAGGGAAGGTCCATCCGGACGAGACCACAAGCATAATTCCAAGCGAACTTCACTCGGTGAGTTCGTTTGCTTATATAATTATGCTCTGTGGTCTCGTCCGGATGGATATTGTAGATGTTCAGAAGGCGATTTGCAGAGCGCAACTGACCGCAAAAGTGTATATTAAACGGAGTGTATTAAATTGTAAGGAGGCAGTCAAAAAACAAAGAAAACGTGAACTTAAGCGCGAAAGATGGAGTTCGTAAAATCCTCAAGGTGGAGGATAGGACGATTATAGAAACGAGCGAAAACTTAGGAGAAGTCTGACCAACTGGCCGCACCTTTGATTAAGTCTAAAGCTACCCCGTTCCGTGCCGCCAATGAGGTGGATGCATGACGGGTACTATGCGGTGTGAACAAATCAGTGCGGACACCGCATTCGCTAAGGCTTGTTCGCAGCCAGCGACTGATTGTTTGCGTGCCGACGGCACGATGCGAGCATACATAAAAAAGGGAATCGCCCAAGGAACTACACAGATTGTGACTTCTAAATAATGCTTAACTAAGGAGTAAATACCTAAGCACGAGTTATCTGGGAACGGAGGAAAAGGAAAGAAAGGCTGGGAATGTCCGGGCGCAGAAGTCTTGAGGTGTTCCGGGACTTTTATAATAAGTTTATCTGAAAAGATTATCTGAGAAAAGCGGAATGAGGCGAGCGTTTGCGCACGCTGACCTGTGCCAGGAGTTAGGCGCAAAGCCAACTTTCTGGATAAGAGCGACAGGAGAAGCGAGTCGGACGGATACATACGAAGGGAGTCCCAAAAGTACCTGACCTGATGTATAAATAGAGGTTGTTGTTTGAAAAGAATGACTATGGTAGAAAGTACCAACTTTATAAAGCTTAAGTTTGAAGTTTGACGACGCTACGTTGTTTAATATTTGTTTGGCAGCCATCAATAGTGAACGCTCTCAGTGAATTTGTAAACATAGAAAAAATTGATCATCGTTATATGATACAATATTTTCATTTGAAATGCCTTAGTTCAACCAATATCAAAGCGGAGCTAGATTATACTCTGGGGGAGTCTACTCCTTCGTTTACAACAGTAAAATATTGGGTGGCAGAGTTTAAACGAGGCGGTACGAGCTGCCAAGACATCGCAGTGGTCGACCAAATGAGGTGACCACGCCAGAAATGGTGAAGAAAATCCACAAAATGGTATTGGATGACCGTCGACTGAAGTGAGCGAGTTAGCAGACATGGTAGGCATTTCAAAAAGTGCTGTACATCGCATATTGACTGAAAATTTGGACATGAGAAAGCTGTGTACAAGATGGGTGCCGCGATTCTCACAATGGAACAAAAACAGTCGTAAGGATGTGTCAATCGAGTGTTTGGCGAAGTTTTACAGCAATAAAGCCGAGTTTTTGTGTCGATTCATAACGATGGATGAAACATGGGTCCATCACTTCATACCTGAGACGAAGAAACAGTCAAAACAATGGACTAAGGTGGCTTGATGGCTATTTTGAGGAGCTCGACGATTCCCACTATAAACAGGGTATCGAAGCTATTGAACATCGCTGGGAAAAGTGTATTGAGCTAAAAGGAGACTATGTAGAGAAATAAAGATATTTTTACCCAAATATTTTGTGTTTTCTTTGTTAGGTCAGGTACTTTTAGGACAACCCTCGTAGTAGCGAAGTGAGCAATAATAGGTTCTGGATTCCAGACGAAATCGCAGCGAAGGCGCAGAGGCCTGTGTACTCCCGCCCCCCATAAAAAAACGCTTAACAAGCGCATGGATACCAATCTCGCTATGTGTGATAAGAGAGACAGCGCTATGAATCGTATTGAGTGTCGAATACGAACGAACACGCGTGAATTCGCGAGCAAGAAAATTTAGAAATTGCTCTAGAGCTGGTCATAACAGAGGGACGTCAGAGGAGTGACAATAAAAACCACCAGTCTCGAAGAAGGCGAGAATACTGACGGATCGTAGCGTCCCTGAGCGAAGCGACAGTAGTTTCCGCACTAGGTGGTACCTGGCGGTCAAGGAAAGCTAGCCGGATAAGCGCCCGACGACCAGGAAAAAATGTCCGCCAAGCCGGATGACGATCCCTAAAAGGAGAATAAAGCAAATCAGGAGATGGCGTAAGGATGAGAGGCGTCCCCACAAGAAGACGATTGGATAGGGGAAACTACGCTTGAGATGGCCATGAAGAGGCGACGACGACCCTCTCTACGCGGTCGTTAATAATTTTACGAAGAACGCGCGGTAAAAGAATGAATGGAGAAAAGCTAAAAAATTTGATATCTGCCCCGGAGAATGTAAACGTGTCCACCGCCAGAGAGCTATGGTCGAGAAACCAAGAGACATAAGAGGCGGAACATTTTGCATTGATAATAGATGTAAACAGGTCTATATTAAATGGTCCAAATGTAGTCAAGATCTTCGAAAAAACGGCGTGCGACAATGGACATTCAGTGTCTGAGCTGAGGACTCGTGATTCGCTATCAGTGATGGTATTGTGAATAGAGACAGTATAAGAAGCAAAGACGAAAACATTACAGTCTTTGCATCAGGTCCAGATTTGCCGCGCTAACGATGTAAGGCGCGGGTATTGCACCGAGCCGAAACGGTTGATATACGCAATAGCTGTAGTATTGTCGACGCGGAGGAGAATGTCGCAGTTTTGAAGATCTGCAGCAAAACACTGCAAAGCATAAAAAATAGCTTTGAGTTCAAGAAAATTTATATGACGGGACCGTTCAGACGCCGACCACTAACCACGGGTATGACGCGATCCACACGATGCCCCCCAATCAGAGAGAGGTGTCCGAAAAAATTTCGCGGGCAGCGACCCCAGAACGTATGGTCTTAGCCTGACGGGGTTTAGAAAGAATAGAAAACCACCATCGGAAGTCGCGTTGTAGCTACATAACTGCCACCAGAACGCGCTAAGGTTAGAGACTTTTCACGCTCGAAATCTTTGATGTGTAAAAGGCCATATTCTACCGCAGGACAGATGGATACAAAAGAGCTTATCATGCTGGTGAAGTGTCACGTGTGCGACAGCAGGATTTCGTGAAAAAATCGAAAGATAGTGGCAATGTTGTGCATATACTAGTTGAGATTTCTTATAATTAAAGAGAAAAACCGAGCGACATAAGTAAAGACAGGGATGCAGTCAGGTTACGAAGGCAGTCGACTCTCGAAGCGCCAAAAAGAGGAAATCATCAAGATAAATAACCGAGCAAAAAACCCTGGTCGCGTAAACGGACCATGACGGGGCGTAAGAGCTTGATGAAAATATATGGCGCCATGCCCAAAATGCGATAAATTCATAAGTAACCGAACGCCACTGGAAGAGCAGGAAACAATGCGCCGTAATGGACACTAAGAGATATGTATCTTCTAAATTGAGAGTCGACAGCCACGAGTCCTGAGTCATCAACTGCACAACGGTACGCCAGTCTTCTAACTGAAAATGCGGTGACAGGTAAATATTTAATTGTTTGAGGTTTAGTAAACTCATGCCTCCCGACGCTTTCTTGACAAGGAAAAAACTCGACAAGAATTGGTCGGGGGAAGGAGAGGTGATAACTATAGCTCCCTTGGAGAGTAGACACGAAATTTTGGTATTGCAAGCCGCCACAACAATCGGAGAAAAAGTGGATTCCGATAATGATACCTGAGGTGGTGATGAAGACACGAACGGGATATCGTATCCACACCCGACACCCTGGACTTTCGAGTTGTTGGTCACCTCCTTCCACGTAGACTGAAAAACGATGATTGAGAAACGATGACTGAAACCAATCGGCTCGCAGTTCTTACATCCTCGCCGTTAACGGCGAGACCGGGAGCGGGAGCGAGGGCGAAAACCCCGGGAGCGCTTCAGCTTTGGCACGGCCCCTGACCTGCGAACCGCAGTCATTACCCGTGGAACAGAGGCTCGCAAGTTTCCTTGACGTGCTGGAAGCGGCTGAAGAGGATGGTGAGCAGCCACCGTCGAGGAGGTCATCGGCGGCTTCGAGAGGTCCCGTTCCACTTTCTCGCAGACTTGCGTAGACCTGAGGTGTTCGGCGAGTGACAAGCCAAACAGTCACTCGCGTCAATAACCGCGTAGTCAACAGCTGGTTTGCCGACAAAAGTGAGGCACGGTTTGATAAAAAAACTTGCCTGACTAATGAGAGGCGGAATCGATGGTCCGCCAAAAAATGAGTCACCTCTACTATTTTGCGAGGGCATTCTTTACAGGAGTATCTAGCGATAGGCCACGAAAATGGCGTAGGTCAGAAAATCCTGAGCCAATCGCGTTAAGACAAGCGCCAACCTGCTATTGTTCCCACGCCTGATGCTCGTCTCGTTTCAGAACGCTTAAGCGTTTCCCAAGTACTGAAACAAGCTCCTCGTTGAGCTTGGGGCGATCTAGCTGCAGAAGCTCGCCCTGAAGCTGGTACTTGGACAGTAAAGCCTAGTGTCCTCCTTCAGGCCGGAGTGAACCTCACTGCAAGTAGAGGCGAGGCTGAGTGAATTCCACGAAATTTCAGCCACGGCAGGAGGGGAGCCGAAGAGCTCATTCGCCAACTACGACGTATTCTCCTTCTCGGAGTCGTTTAGCTCCAAAGGGAGTGGAGAAAACTCGGCGAAGG